GTGACGAGAATAATAAAAATTGGAAATAGATTTGCTTACATGAGTTGAGAATTCACAGGACATTTAAGAAAAAGAGACATGAATGGCTATGAACTTGGAACTGCTTTCCAAGAGTTAGATGTCCTACCTTTTGAGCTCCACCACTTATGTTAGTTGATGCGAATGGAACGTCTTACATAAGCTTGTAAATTGTAATTTTCTCCTATTAGTTTCCTTTTTTTCTTCTCATCTTATGTAACAGAAAAACAAAAGCCAAAAAAACAAAAAGAACCACTGCAGTGCTTCGCAAGCAAATCCATTTTCAACTCAAGCTTTAATTTCCAATTAATGAACAAATTTATTATATTAAATTAACTTCAATTCCTTAATTAATAACCAACCGAACCCCAAGCGTGTGGTTCAGCGGTAGGGTTGATCCACGCTTAAGCAAAGTCAGGGGTTCGAATCCTGCCTTGTGTATGCAGCCGCGTTAAATCTTGGGGCCAGCTATCCCACCCTTTGAGGTGTTCGAATCCTGCCTTGTGTATGCAGCCGCGTTAAATCTTGGGGCCAGCTATTCCACCCTTTGAGGTACCACCAACCTAGCGAGGAGATTAGTCACTGCTGTCGGCGGTAGATACTCCAGGAACGAACCTAAAAAAATTAATAACCAACCTCCTTTTTCCGAGTTTTAAGAATCCGAATTTCATAAACAAGTGACAAATCTTAATCCTACTATATCAACGACTCCAATGAATTTTAGTATATAGACTGAGTGATTCAAGAGAGACCAATTGGTTATGATAGAACTTCAGAGCAATTAATAATAATTATCACATTAAAATAAAATCAATTAGATAAAAAATTTACAAATAAAACTATCACATGCATATTATTATTATCATAATAATAATTATTATTATTATAACTATATAATCATTGCAACACTATTATATTATCGTTATTCTATATCATCACCACTATTATCGTTATTGTTACTATTATCTAGGATTGTGTCTAACAAATTTTAGGCTCAAGAAAAAAAAATTATTCATGTTTTACTCTCATTTAAATAAATAATTTTTTTATTTAATAAAATTGTTAATTAAATATTAATAATTAAGAAGTTCCAATATTTAATGATAACTAATTCAATTACTATTTTGCAGTGTATTGTATAAACATATATTACATAAATTTAATAAATTAATTTTTTAATATATTTAATACTTTTAATGGAAAACTAATTTGTTTTACTATTAATTTTTAAAAAATTTAAATTAGAGAAAAAAAATTAATGAACACTAATATAAAATTAAGATATTTTTTTTCAAAATGAACACTAATATAAAATTAAGATATTTTTTTTCAAAATCTTATTTATTGAAATTAAAATAATTTTCTTTAAGTGATTTCATATTTTAAAATCTTTTATAATATGGTGTAAATATAATAAAATAAATTAATTTAATATTTATATAAAATAATCAAAATTATAAAATATTTTTTTAGAAGAATCAAATTAACATTATGTTCTTACGATCTTATCATTGTCATTTTCGTTAATTTTCTTTTTATATATAAATCATACAAATCATACTATTGTTTTTAGAAATTAATCCTTATATTCATTTTGATACCATTTTTTTTATTATTGAAATTCAAAATAAATGTAAAATAACTTTTAAATTATAATAAAATTTCACAAACTAATAATTTATTATAATATTTATGTGTGTATACTACATGAACTTTAAATAATTATATGATCTTATGTATTACCTAATTATTTATAATATAATAAAATATATTACTTAGTTATTTATGTTAAAATTATTTTAAAAAAAACTTGGGACCACGGGCCTAAAATAGTGATATCAATGACCTTTTCTTAACCACAATCTTGCTATTATCATTAACAATGATATCGATAATAATAATAATAGTATTAACGATATAATAATTGTATCAATAACAACTTGGATGGAAAATTAAATCACAATTCTCAAAATCACTTATGTTTTCTAATAACCCTATATTATTGGGAGTTAGAGTTATCAACTATGCAACAAAAATTGAAAAATATAAAATTTCACACAAACAAAAAAATTGAAAGTAAACTTATGATTTCTTCATTATTCATCATTGAAAGTGAACTTTTCGTAAAAGAATCAGCAATAAGGTAAAAAAAAAAAATGCAGAATCAAACATGCAAAGGCTGAGGTCGAAGAATGAAAAAAAAAGGTATAAATATATACACTACTCATCAAGTGCTCATAACTATAATCAATTCATATATTTTTTCCTTCATACAAATAGAAGGAAATATATATTAACAATATTAACATTGTCACCTGAAAAATCGAATAACAACTTATTGTTTTTCTTTGAATCAATCAGTAGTCAAAATTTCCTTTGAACATGACCATTTTTTTTAGTTCTTTAATAATCTCATGAACCAAAAGAGAACATCTTCATATTTATCGTTCAAATCACACGATAAAAAAATTGAAAATTAAAACTTTGCACTGAATTAGAAAAAAAAAAAAAAAGAAAGAAATAAAGGTAGACCTATGATTTTGTTGTTCATCATCAGAAGGTGAAACTTTTGTAGAACAACCATCAATAAGGTTGAAAAAATGCAGAGAGAGTTTCTGATTTTAGTCCTTTTTTTTTTCGATTTCGTCTTTGTAAAGTAAATTGTTTTATTTTTTCTTTACCGTTTATCAAATTTAACGGAAAAAGATAAATATATATAAGAACTAAAATAGAAAATTATGAGAACCAAAATTTAAGAGTGTCAAAATGAAAGCAACAAAATTTGAAAGGATAAAAAAAAACAACAATAATTTAAGAGGACCAAAATAAAAACAACCTTATCTTATATGAACTATATATTTATCGGAGTCAAATTAATGAAAGTCAAACCATTAAATACAATAAATATACTAATATAGATAAATAATAATAATAATAATAATAATTATTATTATTATAATGAAAGCATTGTGAGTAGAAAAAATTACAAAATTTAAACATGCAACTTAGGCATGGCAACGGGGCGGAGCGGGGGCGGGTTTTACGTTCCCCATC